CTGGCCAGAACCGATCTTAGGAAAACGCAGGCCCTTTCTGAACAAATGTATAAAAGCATTTTTAAAAGAAGAATTTTTATAAGAAATTCACCGAAAAGTTTAAGTACCTTATTCCAGTCATCCATGTCCTCCGAGGCCACGATTTTCATCGTCCGACCAGAGAAGATGTACACTGCATTCGGTTTACAAGCATGGTCGAAGTTAGAAGCCATAGGGGGGATAAGTGATGAAGTAAAGCGTAAAAATCCTACCATCTAAAAATGCCGTACCAATCATCTTCCCGCGTTTGCCCATCAAGCCGAAGGCATTTGTGTTGACCTAGCAGACACAGTTCGACAGAAGAAGGGAGCAAAACGAACTTTGCAAAAGAGTGTCTTAAAGTCGGTTCGTGAAATCTGGAGAGGCTTTTGGGAGAAACGTAACAGGAAGGCGTAAGCAAAATCCATCTTCGACTTGTAATTAATTAGCATCACGGCATGCAGACGATCATGAAAAGTGAAGAATGTTGGGATCAAAAGGGAACACATCACTTTCTGGCGAAAAGAGGTATGGTACATGGCTCAGAGGACACTAATTCAGGGAACACCGGATCCAGTCACTCCGAGACCTACTAGACCTGGGGTGCATAAATGGTCAAGTAAACTGTACGAGTCCTACCATCTAAACAATGCAGAGCCAGTCACTCCGAGTTTGCTTATCATGCGGAAGGAGTTTGTTCTGACCTGGCACGCACAGTTTGGTAGAGAAAAGAAGCAAAACAAACTTTGCAAAAGAGTGTTTCAAAGTCGGTTCTCGAAATCCGGAGAGGCTTCTGGGAGAAACTTAACAGGAAGGCGTACGACATGTTTATCTCCGACTTGATTTCGGGATCCCTGAGATTCTCGCGGACGTCTAATCGTAAGTCAGTGGACTAGGTAGACTTGGCTACGTGATACTTACGCGACATGAAGGAGTCAAAGATGGAGGCATCCTTGTACTTCTACACACAGAGACGTGAATGATAGGGGGATTAAGGTGAACCTACCTCCGTGGTGATGAGGGCAAGCAGAAGACGCAGTGTGTGAGACGGCAATATTCCAGTCTCTGTGATTGACTTACATTCACCACGATGACCGAAGGCCCAGCCGGCCTTCTGACACTGTCGATTGCAGTAGTAGACACGTTTGCACTGGGCGCAGCGCAACAGGTTGTCTGCCGGGGTTACACAGTAGGCACAGTGATTCGCCGCTGCGGATTCATCGAGGCCATGGGCTAGTGCGTCCTCCGTCACAATGATATCACCCCTTTTAAAGCTTTGGCCGGACTTCAACATGACCTGGAAGGTAAAAAAGGGGACGATGTTAATTAGCACCGCGGCATGAAAAGAGGAGATACTAGGGAATTTCAAGGAAAGGCGTCCTTTGGGAAAATAAGTAAATTTCTTCACTAAATTTTCGACACTGGATCCCCAGGTCGTCGTCAGAAAGAAGCCATCTACAAAATCCCATGTGAAGCTTGTGACACGGCATATTGTGGCCAACCAGGAAGATCCGTCTTCACACGCATCCACGAGCACCAATTGGCGGAGAGAGACATGGCCGTTCGTCTGAAGTGTCTATGTATTGCCCGGACGTAGGACATACTTTGCATGCGACAAAAAACGCATCGTTGGAGTTTACCCCTCCATAAAACGGCCGATAATTTCTTGAGGCCATGCACTCCAATGATTCATGTATCAACCGGCGTATCGAGTAAACTGGAGTGTACAAACACCTCAAAGAAAGGTGTAAAAAACTGCAGCCGACAAACATGAACCAACATGAACCGCAATTAGCGTCCACACCTGGACGGACTCAAATTTCAGTTGCAAATTAGCCATTACGCCATGGCAACTGCTAATCATGTCCACCACGATGTAACGCAAATTGCAACTCCAAATTAGCGCCCACACCAGATGACTATATAACTGTATCAGCACGTTGAAATGCTAAAAGTTCTTTGCACATTCTTCTCAAGTCTGACGATGACCTGGGGATCCGGTGTCGAAAATTTACTGAAAAAATCTAGTCATTTCCCAAAGGACGCCTTTCCTT